AACGTGAGTAAAATTGTCTTGATGGGCAATAGGTAAGTCATTTGACTCGGCCAGAATGAGTAAATTTACACCATTTGTGAGTAAAATTACTCATCCAGTGAGTAAAATTGCAAATTCATTTTACTCTGATGCTTAATGAGTAAACCTATTCAAATGTTTGAGTAAAACATCGTCTTTACTCAAAGATTGAGTAAACCAAATTATCATTACTCAGATATCAAGTAACGTAAATTAACATTCAGTCAGTTAGCTTTACTCAAGAATTTACACATCATTGAGCATAGTAGATTAGCTTTACACAAACCTGAGTAAAACATAACAATTGACTCGTTTACGTAAAGTGAATTAGCTTTACTCGTACCCGAGTAAAAGTGTAATAATTTTATTCACGATTTGAGTAAAGTTACTTTAATTATATAGCTTTACACAAACCTGAGTAAAATAAAACAGTTTACTCGTCGCTTGAGTAAAGGTAACAATGTAGATTTACTCAAATCTGAGTAAACATGTTGATTATTATTTGTCCTGAATCCTGATTTCAAATGTAAAATTAAATTTTCGAAAAAGCAAGAATATTTTCATACTGATATTCATTGACATTGACTCGTAGTCAATATTTTTAAAAGAGTTCCTTAGAAGTTAGAACGGTTGTTAATATTCCTTAATAGTGTAGAATAGTTAAGAGTTCAAAAAGACAAAAAATGTACAATTAATAATTTAGTCCGAGCTGTAAAAATACACTAAATTATGCACACTCGCAAAATGTCCAAGCAATGTGCCTATAAAGTGCCAAACAATTCCCAAAACACCGTTTTCATTAATATTATTTAAGAAAAGATTTTTCCTTGAATTAAGGATATATTTGTTTCCAACGTGATAGCGAGTTGCTATATATGGGCACAAACGTTGTCCATACTGCTTGTTCATTGGTTGTTTTTGTGTGGAAAAATTTTCGCGCCAAAAACATTTTAGACCGTCTTTCACTGCTGTCTTTCATGGTCTTTTGGAGTTTCGCTGTTTTCTTATTAAATATATATAACTGCTTTCGCTGTTTTCTTAAATATATATAACTGCTATGTCTGCATCGGTTAAAGGTTGGCTAGTTAATATCGGGTTTGAAGAGTACTGCCAGACGTTTGAAGGTATGTCTTTTTTTGTTTTTATGCCTAGTACATTTTACCAGTTTTGTACCTGTATAATTTTTTGTTCAAAGCTGCGGTGTTTCACCAGGCAGCGGCTCTTTAACACGTAGAATATTTATTCACCATTGTACTTATATAACAGTATATTATATAAAAGCCTATTAAACCTTTATACACTCGTTTTAATAATTTAAAAGGTTTTATTAACAGAGTTATCGCCTTTGGCTTTGTAAACCCTTTGTTCGCATATAGGAGCTAGTATAGCTGCGCACACTCGACAGTTGTTTCCTTGACAATTTTTCCATCGTGACAAGTTATATATTTCGTCTCGTCTGTACTAAATTAAAACATTATAAAATTAGTTTATGATTAAAGCGATACAAACTGACAATTTCAATGAGAAAGTAACTGAAAAAACTTGTTTCCCCCATGGCGATGCACACAAATTTTAAAACTATTACAGTATACTATACAGTTTCAGGGGGCGGTTGTATAAAACGCTTAATCACTTTTTAAATCAATATTTTGTAGTTAAATAGTGATTAACTCTCAAATACGTGCTACTTATTGGATGACGTTTCACTTTTTTTATACAACCGGCCCCAGAACACAGAGTAGATACTATAGTATATTTACTCCGTGCCCAGAAGTACATCTCCATTGTTTTTTGCCTAAGCGCTGCTCATCATTATTCGTCACTTACTGGAAGTAACACAACCTAATGCCACGCCCCCCATCACGCCGCTTTTTGCGGCATATGGAGTTCGGGTTTAACATGAAACAAAACTTTTTTGTTAAAGGATGACGAGAATGTGTAGGATGTTATCGGAAAAATCAAGCCATTCCCAAAGATGTTCATTAGACAAGCTGCAGGAGACATCGCTGAATCACCAGAAGCAGAGGAATGGATCGTGGCTGACAACAGTCATGACCAACTTTGAAGGAAGTATCTTGGAGGGCTGTTTGGCTTTATTGTCCACCTATTACGTATTCATATTTATGTTTCCAAACTCTCCGACTAATTTTTACACGTATTTGAACAAGTGCATACTTGGAATTCCAGACAGAAAAAAGATGCCTGCAGCTGTCATAAAGTTTGTCAATAGCTTATAAGTTAATACATGCAGGGTGACCCAAAAGCGTCCCTCCGGGCATATTTGCCACTCCAAAATCTCATATACTTATAACTTCCATCATTTTGAGGGATGCAAAATTGGCAACCTCGTACCCAGGGCTTTTTGCCTCCGCAGTTGGATGGTCAACTTCGGCTGGTCTGTTTTGCAACCTGATTGGTCAATGATTTTGAATGTAAATATTCAATATATGTGGAAATAATTATTATTTTGGTGCAATGCGAGTGCAGTGACAAATTTATAATTAGTTCTTGAAGGACTACAGTATTGACCGAATAAGATTTTTGATATTTCGCTTGAGATACAGCATGAATAAGGGAAAGACAATATATCACAAAACTATCTGGTCCATATTTAGTCTTTGTACATTTTGTATAGACGAGTATTTGCTTCGGTTCAACATACGTTTCTCACATGCATGCGTTGTTTATACAGTTAAACAAAGATTGTGATACGAATATATTTGCTCATAACACAATTTGTATAAACCGGCAAACGCTGAAGCGGTTTGGTTGTTCATTAAACATTTAATAACAGGCTAACCAGGCTCTGAATAGGGTTTAAAAGTCATCAATATTACGAGCTATGTTGCTGACTGAGGTGTAAACAATGAAAACCGAATCAAGTCAACTTATTTTGTTGCTTTATCTTTGATTATATACGCAGCATTGATTAATATTTGACGCTGATAACAACTAGAAACGTGTCTCATCCTTATATACTAATTACAATACTAGATAATTATGCCCGCTGCCGATCGGTGGGGATGGATTCGGTTCCAGGTTATGGTGGGACTGGATTATCTTAACCCCCATAACCAGGTGAGGAATCATAGATACTTCCTCAACCAATGGAACCTCTTCCATCCCCATCGATGACAAGTCAACCTGTCTGTACAGGGAAGAGTTCGAATAACCCCTACCAACCCGGAAACAGCTCCAGAGCACTACAATCCAAGTAGAAAGTATAGGGTAGACACCTGAAAAGCTTGTGCCGCCAACAGAAACGAGAAGAAACAGTGAGGGAAAGGAGGGTGGGAAAACATTGAAAGCAACTGAAAGGCTGGCTTCTAGTTCACTAGCTATTTTATACGCCAGGTTACCGGGGACCTGCCCCGGACAAATCGCCGACACAACAATCAACGGAGCGCATCAGCCCATACTGTTAACTTGCTTTTATGTTATAAAACCCATATGTGTTTTCTCTTGTCAGTAATTGAAATGTATATAATTATTCTATCTACGTTTTTATATGCATAAATTATCTTAATTGAACACCCCAAATACTGGAGATTTTCAGGTCATGTGACTGGCCGATGCCAGGGCCATTTTCGCTGAACGGAAGCAAAATGCCCTGGGTATGAGGTTGCAAAATTGGTCCTGTCACTTCATAAGGCACCTGTAAACCTATTCGAAAAAGAGCAGGAAACTCTGGAGGCCTGGTGTGAGTTGCACGAAAACGAGGCTAGTCAGATTTTCTCCAGGCAAAATTTTTGCAAGAGTAACCTAACTAGCCTTGTTTTCGTGCAACTTGCAACAGGCCTCCATATAGTTGCCTGTCCTTTCTCGAATAGGGAGGGCTATTATAGCATGCATGATTTATGGAAACGTCAAGGGGCTCATTTTTGGGACATTCCTTGCATGCTCCGCTGCATGCACTCACATGCATGTTTACTATTCCAAAATGTTTCATGGTTATATTGTGAAATTATAGTTAACACAAAGATCGACGTGATATTAGTTATATTATATATATAGGATTGAGTAATATAACTTCGTTAAATTTCATTGAAATAAATTTTATTCAAGTATTTGATTTATGGCTATTGGTGAATATACTATACAAGACTGCATGCATGCACAAGTTAGGTAACACATGTTAATTTAATTTGCTTTTCACTGACAATTTGAGTAAAAACTGTCGGTGTGTTTCCAATTTGAGTAAAGTGATGTTTTACTAAAAAAATTGAGTCACTGTCGGTGTATTTACTTTACTCACAAATTTTAGTACTTTTTACTCACAATTTGAATGAGAAATGTGATTTTTTACTCAAAAATTTGAGTCGCTGTCGGTGTGTTTACTTTACTCACACATGTAAGTTTTACTTGCAATTTGAGTAAAGTGATGTTTTACTCAAAAATTTGAGTCACTGTGGGTGAATTTGCTTTACTCAAAAACCCGAGTATTTTTTACTCACAATTTGAGTAAAGTGATGTTTTACTCAAAAATTTGAGTCACTGTGGGTGCATTTGCTTTACTCAAAAAGTTAAGTTAATTTGCTCACTAAGTTGAGTTGTTTTACTCAATATTTTGAGTCACTGTGGGTGCATTGTTTTACTCATATTTTTGAGTCAAAATACTCCGGTATTTTTTGCAGTGTACACAATTTATGATCATGTTTATCAATATTAATGAATGAATATCCAATAATTCATTAAATCCAATGCACCGTACCGCTCCTTGGGTAAACTTAAAGAGTGAGTATCAGGCGCATTGCGTGCTTATATATTGCCTTAGTCGGCCATTTTACGGTCCCCCGAAAATGGCCACCAAGCTGTACTTTGAGAATTAATGTGGAATCTGTGCGATATTTGAACAATCGTGTTATAAATTATTAATTTTTTGTATTCCCTTTGGAGCATTGACCATAATAGAGAATTGTTTGTTTGTTTTGATAAATAATACGCTGTAATTTTCGATAAACTGGTGTAATTCCTTCCGAGTCATGGCTGGCGCATCGCCTCCGAAACGTGGAAGGCCAAAGAAAGACGAAGCAGTCATGCGGATAAGATTAACCAAGCACATATATGACATGTGGGCTACAAAAAAGAATTCTGTTGGGTTCTCGACGAAAACGCATAGCGAATTTGCAGAATATCTTATGCTGAATACATACGAAGGTCTAAGCATCCAAACTCCTAGTAGTGGTAAGTCGAAAAATTTAATTATTAATAATAATTAATATCATCAATTTCCAGCCAATCTGATATTGATGTTGATGTGTGAGTAAACTTTTCAGTTATAATATGGGTTTTTACTGTGAATATAAAGAATGCATGCCAAGTGATTGTTGACATGCAATGTTCCCTTTATATCATTTGTAGTGTAAATATTCACAGAGAGTCTACTTCTCATATTTCTGGACATGAAGTCGAAGGTTTGGAGACTTTGGGCATCAGTACAATGGAGAACTTGTCACTCTGAATTTGGAAAACATTTTGGCAACCCTTCCAGTTCAGAGACAAATACTACCAGCTCAGATGAAGATGAGTAAGTATAATTTTTCCTCATTTGTTGTATTTTAGTAATTTTATTCCCCATCAGTGGGGTAGCTAGCGGTCATGCTGGTCATGCTGAGCATGACTAAAAATTTCCCCCAAAATAAAGAATTGCTTTCTGCTAAAATTCAAATTCAAATCATTTAGCTTTCCGAAACTTTCACAAGTACTTTTGACGAGATTTTCGCTATATTATGTCATTTTCAGCAAAATATTGCTCATTTGCATAGGTTACCTAGCAACAAACATGGCGAGTTCGTGTGAATTTCGTGTGTTTTCGTGGTCTGGTCATGCCCTCTGAAATCAGCATGACCAAGTAATATATTTTATAGTAGAAATACTGGCAATATGATTGGATAATGGCAACTGCGCATGCTCAAACGCGCTGTTTTGCAACATCTAGTCATGCGCATTTTCCAGAGCATGACTTGAGCCTTTGAATCTTTGATACAGTCTTTCTGTTCGAGATAATTCACGCTCGAATACTCCGTTCAAGGTAAGTGATTCACGGCTTCCACAGAAGCAGATATTATAAGTGATTTGCTGAAGAAACCTTTCTCTACTCGTCAACTGGGCAAGCAAAATATAATTGTAACGCAACAGCCAATGCCGAATTTACAATTGACCACTGGGGATAGAAGCTTTCAGGTGAGTTGGTACACAAAGAAAGATTGGCTTTGTGGCAGTTTAACCAAGAAGGCAATGTTTTGCTGGCCATGTCTTTTATTTTGTCCTGGAACTTCATCATCATGGACGAAGACTGGCTTCAGAAATATGAAGGGCTTTCTGTCAGATTGCAAAAAGCATGAGAGGGCAAGATTCCACATGGCTGCTTACAAGACCTGGAAAACCTATGGTTCTGGACCTCATGTAGACTCTCCATCTCACAAGCCAGACGTGACAAGATTCAGCATCATAATGAGGAGGTAAGGCAAAATAGAGAAATGTTAAAAAATCTAACACAAGCTGTTCTATATTTGTCTAGGCAAGAGCTTGCATTTAGAGGTCATGATGAATCTAACGATAGCTTGAACAGAGGGAATTACAGGGAATTGCTTGAACGTTTTGCCAGAATGGATTCTGTTTTTGAAAGGCAGTTACATGGTAGGCTTGCCGAATCGAGCTTGAGAGGGGGTGGGCGGTTTACTGCAGTTTCCCCTGATATTCAAAATGATTTGATTAATTGTCTTGATATGATAATAGAGGATGATATTTTAAAAGAAATGGATAATTGCACTTTTTTGAATATATAGGTTGATGAGGCGACTGATGTATCCACCAAAGAGCAGTTGAGTGTGATCATTCGTCTGGATAAAGGGAGTGATATTATAGAAAGGCAACTTGGGTTTGTAGATGTTAGTTCTGACAGAACTGCAACTGCTTTATCTACAGTTATTAAAGGTAAGTTGATTCAGCATGAAAATATCATGGATAAGCTTATTGGACAAACTTATGATGGTGCCTCTGTAATGTCGGATCATCTCAATGGTGTTCAAGCTCAAATACAACGGGGGTATCCTTTTGCCCATTTTGTTCATTGTGCAGCTCATAGGCTGAATCTTGTATTGTGTCAAGCTGCATCCTCTATTGCACCTGTGAAGATATTTTTTATTAACATAGGTGCTTTTTGTACTTTTACTAGCAATGCTCCAAGGAGGAAAGCATTTCTGTCTTCCCATAACCTTGAGTTTCCCAGTCCTGGTGATACACGATGGTACTATAGAGCTCGTGTCATCAATGTTTTGTATAATAATTATGACAAACCTATAGAAATATTTGAAAATATTGTTGACAATCCAACAGGGTGGGATGATGAAACACTGAATAAGATGAGCAGTCATCTATACTTTAGAGCAGTCATCTATACTTTATTCCATCTTGCAAGACAAAAAGACTGATTTTCAATATGGGATGACCAGAGTTGAGAGATTCAAGACATTTATTACTTCTCTGAGAACAGATGCCAAATATTCTGAGTTTTATGACAAAGCTGTTGAGAAAGTGGGCCCTCCAGTGACCAAGTATGACCTGAAGCATAATTACAAACAAATATTTTTTGAAATTCTTGATTCCATTGTAGGCATGCTGACTGAGCGTTTTCACGATATGGAGCATTTTAGATTTTTAGATCTTGTGAACCCAAGGGTATTTAAGACTTGGAATGGTGAAGTGCCCTCAGAGAAACTGGATCTGCTCAAGGAAATGTATGGTGATTTATTTGACATACCAATCCTAGTCAGCCAACTTTGTTTTATTTACAGGGATAAGGACTTTCATAAAGATTCTTGTGGAGAGTTATTAAAATATATTTTTCAGTTCCATGATCTGCAATCTAGCATTCCTGAAGTAGTAAAGTTGCTGAAGATGAATGGTGTTATATCAGTCACTAGTGCTTCTGTTGAAAGATCATTTTCTTGTTTGAAGAGGGTAAAAAGGTTATTTGAGAAATACCATGAGTCAAGGCCGTCTTAGTTCTCTTTGCAGGATTTCCATACACAAAGACATATTGTCAGAAAAAGAAGATGCAGGTACCTTGCATGAAGAGGTGGTAAAGAGGTTTGTTGAAAAACCAAGGAGACTTGCTTTCCTATACAGGGTGTATCAAAAAAAGCGCAATCCTCGATCATGGTCTCTGAGATTGTGACTGATGCATCAGCAGTAGTTATTGCCCTAGTACAGAAAATGAAAGGTACAGGTACTGTAAAGTATAGAGCAAGCAACTGATGTGGGACTGTGAATTTATTTGGTTGATAATGAAATGTGTAATGTTGCTGCAAGTTTCTACCAATAATTTTCAGTATCACCATGCGAGTGCTTGAAAAGACTTTTTGAGAAGCATGTTATGATCAGGGCTCAAAGTAGAGAAAAAATATGGCCTGCCAGTCTAAATTTTTTTTTGCAGGAGAAATAAATGCCAGCCTGCCATTTTTATTCATTGTCATTGAACTGCCAAAATGGCGATGTCTCTATATATATGCATTTTTTTTATTGTTTAAACTTGTCTATTTACTACAGTGAACTTTGATTTACATTTCAAATATAAACGTATTTAGTCAACCAAATGATCTATTATAGGATAATACAGCAAGCCGAGTATGTTGGTTCTGCTCATGTAAGTTCGTCTTATGTAGATAATCGATAATAATCTATCAAAATGACAACAACAAGACAACAGCTTACTATTGCAAGCTTTCGTGAACTGTGGAAAAATGAATTTCTGCCAGAAATTCGAAAGGAAATCGACTCAGCGAATGCCTCGCTATATACTGAAATTCGTGATCTAAACAAGCGCTTGGATGAGTTTGAAAAGACCCTGTCCTTCTTTTCCGAACAGTATGACCAGTTAATAAAGATTACACAGACAACTAAGAAACAAATTGAAAGCAAAATCGAAGACCAGGGTAAAACAATAACCGGATTAAAGAACAACGACTATGATAATATGGCCGCCATTGACGAAATCCAACAATACCAAAGGCGTGATTGTCTGGAAATTACAGGTATACCTACATTACCCAACGACGAGCCGAAAAATATTGTCATGGAACTTGGAGCAACCTTAGGCGTTTTACTGAACGAAAATGACATACACTGTAAAATCAAATAAGTTATAACAACCCAAAATAATAGGTCACAAGTTGAATCTGTGGTAACTATATTTTTATTGGTTAATACTACATTAATTAATGGTTACATTGACCCATTTTTTCAAGGTTATAATAACGTTTAAAACAAAGTAGTTTTAACTAGAATAGAGAGGTTGTTATTCAACCTTTTTATCAGGTTATATTGATCTATTTCTACAGGTTAAGATAACTGTTAAAATTGGGTAATCAAACAAATATCAACTGAATTTAATTGGTTAAAGAAACTACTATTTATAGTTGTTTTAACCTCACTTTTTTGGATTTTGCTGTGAATCTGGTGTAAACAATTAAATTGGTTAACATATAGTAGTTTTGACTATTCATAATAGGTTGTCAATTTTAATCAAATAGAACAGGTCAAAACAAACACAAAAGACAGGCTGATTTAAGATTCTTTATATAATATATATATATATATTTCAACGAATCTAACATATACATCATATAACAAAAACGGTTAGTTTAACTATGGCCAATGCCATATGTATATATGTAATTATCAACCCAACAAATAATGATTGTTTCAGATATAGCTCAACTCAAACGATAACATTCAGTTGTGTCAAAAATGTCTGTGTACAAATTATTGCACGTTAAAAGGTACTACATATAAAACGTTCATACCATCAAATCCGAAACGAGATTTTCAACTGTAAGTGGTAAATTGGCACTGCACTGACCAATGAATATATGCTCCAAAAATAAGAAAAGTGCCTTCTCCACTCCACTTGCACCTTTCGGAAATTCCATATTGAATACGTAATAGCTTCCAAGTAGAGTTACGACAGCATTTAGAATGTTTGCAGGTCTGAATTGACAAATAACCATACCTTCTGCGGCAAGGCAGAGCTCATCAATATCAGTGAGATTTCCGGTACTCAAGAGTCTTGGTGACTTTGTCAGGTTAATAAGGTCGTCCAAAACTTTGTCTTCATCTTCACTCTATTAAAAATCAACAACAGAAATAAATATATACATATATAATTCATATAGTTCAGACAAGGCAAGGGTAATTAACCTGAAGATTGCCATACAGGTAAAGGAAATTTACACCATGGCCATGCACCTACACCAGTGCAAAATCCATGCCACATTATGCAGAAATGAATAGTTCATACCTTAGCCCTTATCCAAAATGATTTGCTACAAGACATAGTATATTTCTTTGTATCAAAAAGTAAAAAAGGGAGTCCAGCCATGATACATCGATTTTGAACTTCTGAAACACAATACAATAAAAAATATCAGTTAACCATACACATATCTTTTACACGTTGAATAACAGAGGGATCTTGTCAATCTCGAGCTCGTGTGGCCTAGTTTCAGACAATGTAACGGTTGTACAGTACAGCAGCTTTATTTGAAGCATGGATAGACTTCTCAGTCAGCAAGAACAGTGGCAATAAGCAAAACTAAAACCCAAGGATAACATTATACCCATGCAGAAATAAAGATCTTACTAAAAGTAATAAATTCTGTACTGCTGTCAAGTCACATATTACACCCACCATTTTCATCCAAGAATTCAACTCCTTCTGCCATTTCCATTATCTCTTGTAGACAACGATGCGATGATTTTCTCATGTGAGAGAGGATTCGCTCTCGCCAGCCTCCATTAAAACGCTCTTTTATGTCTTTATTAATATCAGGTTCCTGTAGGATTCTGTCTAACTCTGCTCGTATCTAAATTAATAACAGTTCTGTATGAAAACATGTAATGTGTATTTAACAAATCAAATCTTCTTCAATTAAATACTAAATCATTTGTTCATGAATTTGTAATGTTAACTACAGTGAGGATCACACAATAGCATTCTTTGAATTTCAACTTTGTCGAGAAACATAAGTATTTAAGGATTGTCTATAAAAGCAGTGGAAACTTACTAGGGATTATAGAATGGATAACTTAAAGTCTTTGAACACATAAATATGCACAAAGCACAACTGACTGCAATTCCCCATTCCAGGTACAAACGTTAGAAAAACTTTAGTAATTATACATGTGCTGTACTTCATTGTTACATACAGTACATTTATATTAAATTTTTCAATGTTTATTTACCTGTTTACTGGTCCATTTCTAGGGTTAAATATTGTACTTATTAATGTACATATCACATGCATGCTATACAATACTGAATAGTCTACCTCAGATCCTGTACTTGATCCCAAAGGAGGGAAGGCCTCCAAAACTTGCCACACTCTAAGATTCATGGTGATAATCTCTCTTCTACGCATTGGATATGTAGAAATCATCAAATTCCGTAGAAGCGAACAGTCCTTTTTGTTCTTTTTCCATTGGTCACTTATCCGCTTCTTTTGCATGGCATATGTTTCATCTGTTTCCCCCTCAGGAATAGCTGGAATGACAGAAGTCAGATGAATGCTCTTTTTCCTACCTGGTTTTCCTTTTGGGACCTCTTTTCCTTCTTGTTGAAATGCCTTTTTTATTTCTTTATTCTTTTTCTTGTTTAGGTTTTCAAATCTATCTTTTATCTTTTTCACCCAGAATGACTGCAGAAACCAATTAATAAAATTGAGTAACAAAATTTTGGCTTGCAAGGTAAAATACTGTAAGTATAGGTTATCACATGAGTGGTGAGGTGATATCAGTTTTATCACACTTTTATCACTCAATTATAGCCGAAATTAATTGTCCAAATATTTTCAGCCTATAGGCGTAAACTCAACATGTCGAGTCAATGCACAAGCTATATTTTTAAGAATAAGAAATAAGTATTTATAAGAATTATATTATTTTGTAAAAATATGTTTAATCCGGACAGAAATTAATACATCCCCACATTGGACAGCACGACA